ACAGAACTAAAATTTATATAATGGAGCTAAGGATGCCTTCACGACAAGGCGTTGGTAAAATATAAATATTAACCAACGACCTTAAATAAATGATAAAGGTGTTAAAAAAAATGTAGACAACCCAAATATTAAATTACTGATATAATAGCATGTATTCTAGCTCTTTGGCTTTCAATAATACAACAAATACAAATAGAACAATGGTATATGGTAAATAATAATAAATAATAATTTAATTCAGCTCGTCAGCTGGTTACCTGGAGAACTGGTGTCCGTTAGCGGCTTTGAAACTAACGCTACCGTCTCAGGATGCACACACTTACACAATAAAAATACAATATTATAATAATTAAATGTGTGGCAATCCCGAGAACGTACGACTAACGAGCCACCAGCTCAAACGAATAAATCACTGTATACATGCAAATCACAATGGAAAAAATTCACGTGTTTCTGTAAGTACCTCGTTGTGCGCCCTGAATTGGGGAATAATATTAATGAAATGAACGAAAGCAAATGACTGAACGATACTTACAGAAAATAATTCACAGATGATGTACACAAAATGATTGAATATGATATTGTATTGAATATTTGAATGAATGTATGCTTCTTTGAAAAAACGAATGCAATGTGCTCTGGCTGGGGTTGACTCGGACCGAACAGCTCGAGAGGCGAAAAAGAAAAGAAAAACGGAAAAGGCGAAAGTATTTAATTGAATATTATGAGTTTTTACGAAGACGAATGAATTTATTGAATAACCAATGAGAAAACGCATAATTCACGAAAATGCTATCAGTACCACCTTAAACATTTAATACGAAAAAATACAAGACTTTCGGTGGCACTGAAAGCGACACAAAACTTTACGAACGAAGAAAAAACATTAAAAGTGCATAAAAATAACAAAAATACGAAAAAGCGACCGTTGGAATGCGCACGTTGCCCGCTATCAGTTAGATAACACAACGACGGTGGGACAACGCGCGCACTCACCAGACAATCAGACTACCGCTGCAGCTGTTGTTCGGTCCGCGATAATACACCGGCGCGAAAAGGAACTATTTGAATTGGTTTTGCGGAGCGAACATACACCCCCATTTGAAAGGATCTACCTTTCAACATTATAATAACAATAACAACGAATAATAGAACTATGACTACGTATGAAAAATGATAATTTTGCTACATGCAACACTATCAATAATAGAGATAAAAAAAATAAATAAATAAATAAATAAATAAATAATACATTGGTTGAATCCTCTTTTGATGATGACTAAGGTTGTTCTTCTCTCTCATCTTCTTCACTTGGTAGCAAGGAAAGTTTCACCACTGGACGTTTGAAAATGTTGCCAGAGGAATTGCGTAAAGTGACCACTCGAACAGTGCCATCAGGACCAGGATGAACATCTTGAACCCTGACCAGAGCCCATCTGGTAGGAGGAAGATTTTCTTGTCGGAGAAGACATAGATCACCCACTCTTATGTTTCGAGTTACCTTTATCCAGCGGCCTCGGCGTTGCAATTGAGGAAGGTACTCCCGGGACCATCTCTTCCAAAACTGTTGAATGCAAGATTGTACTAATGCAAAACGTTTAAGTCTAGACATCGGGGTGGTTGATGAATCTGCTTCAGGTGGTAATGTGATAACCCCACCAATGAGAAAATGAGCCGGTGTTAGAGCTTGATAGTCTGATGGGTCATTGGATAACGGAGTCATGGGTCTAGAATTTAAAACTCCTTCTATTCCACACAGCAACGTTGTAGCTTCTTCAAATGTAAATGTTGCATTTAATGATATTTTTGTCAGGAGTTGTTTGGAAGACTTAACTGCAGCTTCCCACAGACCTCCAAAGTGAGGTGCTGAGGGTGGAATAAAGTGCCATTGCATAGATTTTTCAGAAAGATATGATAATGTTGTATGAGTCTTGGAAATTTCCTCAAACTGTGACATGAGTTTGCGATTCGCACCAACAAAATTTGTGCCATTGTCGCTGAAAAGGTTACTGCATTGTCCTCGGCGAGACATGAATCTAGTTAGTGTGGCTAGAAACGCATCGGCAGTTAAAGATGAGACTAATTCCAAATGAATAGCACGTGTGACTAAGCACACAAATACAGATATATATGCCTTTTCAGTCTTTACACGACGGATACCACTTCGAATCATTATTGGCCCGCAGAAATCTACTCCACATTGAGAAAATGGCCTTTCAATAGTGGTACGTTGCCGAGGTAGCGGAGCCATGAAAGGTGTTATTAATTTTGGATTGGTTCGGAAACATTGAATACATTGATGCACGGTTCGACTGGCAAGACTTCGTCCACGGATGGGCCAGTAATTTACTTGTATGTGCGAGAGTAATGCTTGTGGACCAACATGCAGTAGTCTCAGGTGCTCATATTTGAAAAATAATCTTGTGAAAGTTGATGAGGATGGCAATACAACTGGAAACTTTGTATTATCATGTATTGGTGCATACGCTAAGCGACCTCCAACACGTAAAATGCCAGTACCGTCAACAAATGGATTTAGCTTTAACAAGCAGCTTGACCGGTGAATGGGTGAATTTGAATTTAGAGCCTTTAGTTCCGAGGGATAAGCTTCAGCCTGAATCTTGCGAATCCAAAATTCTCTGGAAGCCTTGAGGTCTTGTACAGTCAATGCACCTGTTGTACGTTGATCTATGAGTTTTCTCTGTATTGTACAATTGTGTACGAATCGTTGGACTAAGGCAGTTATACGTATAAGTTGCATGTAACTTGAATATTTGTTCAGCAGCCAGGAATCGGATGAATGAGCTGTAGCCAGCACTAACTTTACTGGACGAACTTCAGGGATTTCTGATGGTAGCTCTGGGATGCCTGGCCATGAATCACTTTTCAAAAGTAACCAGGATGGTCCGTTCCACCAAATTGACAATGAAGGCAGTGCAGCAGGATGTATACCTCTTGTTATTTGATCGGCAGGATTTTCCTTAGAAATAACATGGCGCCATTGAGCATTTACTGTAATGTCTAATATTCGAGCAACTCTGTTTGCTACGTATGATAGCAAAGGGACTTCATTTTTTAGCCAAGCCAAAACAATTGATGAATCAGTCCATAGTAAAATTTCACTTATACTGAATTGCATGCCTAAACAACCGAGTTCATTTTTTACCTCTAACAACAGTTCAGCCAGTAATACTGCACCGCATAGTTCGAGTCTAGGGATGGTTGTAGCCTTCATTGGGGCAACACGAGATTTGGATGCCAGGAGATGTACTTGCACTTGACCATTTGGACTGGCAGAACGTAAGTAAATGCATGCACCAAATGCCTCTTGCGAAGCATCGCAAAAGCCATGAATGGTGACCTTTGAATCTGCAGTGTTGATAACCTTACGTGGTATAGCCAATTCATGCAAGGACTGAAGAGAGTTGTAGAATTTTATCCATCGAGCTTGCAATTCAGATGGGATAATGTCGTCCCAGCTCATCTTCATTCCCCATAATTGTTGAATGAAAATTTTTCCAAGAATGAGAACCGGGGATATGAGTCCAATAGGATCATAAACTGAGTTGATGTCTGATAATAGTGTACGCTTGGTCATGTTTAACGGCGGTGACCAATGCTTGAACGTAAAACGAAACTGATCAGTGATAGGTTGCCATGTGAGTCCTAAGGCTGTAACCGTGTCATTCTCACTGAGTTTCAATACAAACGTTGGGTCATTACATGCTGATGGTATTTGGTTAATAAGATTGACTGAGTTGGAACACCATTTGCGAAGTGGAAAACCAGCTGGACTAAAATGTTTTAATAGTGAACTGTAAATTTGATAACATTCATCTTCAGATGCCCCACCACTCAGGAGGTCATCAACATAAAAATCCTGAGTGATTACTCGATTTAATTTAGGATTGTCTGTGCATTTTCCAATCTCAGATAAACAACGAGTGGCCAAATACGAGGCTGACTTTGTTCCATATGTTACAGTGCACAGCCTGTATTCTTGTAGTTGATCAGTAGGACTTTTTCGATAAAGAATTCGTTGGAGGTCTCTATCCTCAGGTGCAACTAAAACTTGTCGGTACATTTTCTCGACGTCCGCTGTGATCACTACTTGGTGAATGCGAAATCGAAGAAGGATATGAAATATATCTGACTGTACTTTTGGTCCTTTCAACAGAACATCATTGAGTGCTATTCCGGACTTGGTGTTGGCAGAACCATCAAAAACTACACGGAGCTTTGTGGTTGTGCTATTGGTCTTAAATACTGGATGGTGAGGTAAATAATATTTTGGTCCAGTCCATGTAGGATTTGCCAGCTCCATGTGGTTCAACGCCAAGTATTCAGAAATAAACATGTTATATTGTTCTGCCAATTTTTCATCTTTACCAAGTCTTCTTTCTAAATTGTAAAACCGTCTCTCTGCCATTGGTCGAGAATCACCAAGGAATGTGATCTTGTCATTAACTGGAAGCCTTACAACAAATCTCCCACTTTCATCACGCTTAACAGTTGATGAAAAGTGCTTCTCCGCTTGAGCTTCTTCGATGAATTGAACATTTGTAGTTGAGGTAAATAGACTTAACGCAGAATTGTTAGATACTGGGGTGGATAGCATGGTTATTTTTGACTTAACTAATGACTTCTCAAATAATTTTCCAACAAGTATCCAACCAAGTTTTGTATTGTGTACACTAATATGCTTGGACAGCTGTTTACGTGCACCCAGGAAAATGTCATAAAATAGTTCGGCGCCAAATAATATGTCAACAGCAGCTGGTACGTTGAGTTGAGGATCAGCTAGATTGCCCTTAACATCATCAGGTATGTTCAATTGATCCATGCTGAACATTTGATGCGGAAGTCTTTCTGTTATCGTTGGCAATGAATGAAATTCAATCGAGGATTGATAGTTTTGACAATGCGATGATATAGTGCATGGCATTAAACGCACAGTGGAAGAAGACATAGTACCAACACCAGCTATTGACAATGAAACATTAGTCTTCTTTAAATGCAGGCGTTGACGTTATGAAGTTAAGTTGAGATCCAGAATCCAAAATGGCTCTACAGCGTTGAGGTCGTCCATCAGCGTCATGAACATTTATTACAGCAGTAGCAAGCATCACAGTGGACGTGGTACTTGGCGCATGCTTGTTGCTGGTCATTGCATGGCATACTGCATTATCTTGACTGGTTGTCTGTGTCTCAGTTTGCGTAGAGCTCTTGGGTTTTGACATATGGCTCGAGTCAACATGTAGTCTTGAATTATGTTTTTTTTTACAACGTGGACATCCAGGATAATAGCAAGATTCAACTTGATGTCCAAAATTCAAGCAGTTGAAACATAATTTAAATTTAGTGACAACATCCTTACGCTCAGACACTGACATTTGATTGAATTGGTTGCATGCATAAATTCTATGTGGTTCTGTACACAACACACACTTGATAGTATGAGGTTCAGATTTTTTAGCAAAAAAAGGCTTTGACGTCATGTTTTTTGGTTCCATACTGAGACTTTCCAGTGGTTTGTTTTGTATCAGACTTTGATGAAATATAACCGAATTCATAGGCAGCTATGCGTTTAGACAGAAATGACTCAATATCTTTAAATGCAGGGAGCTCCTTGCTGGTTTGTAGCAGCTGCCACTCACCAGCAGTAGTTGGATCTAGATGACAACAGACAATTGTTGTCAACCAGGCATCCCAATGTTGTACAGGCTGCTTTAAGGCGATAAGAGAGCGAACATGAGAATTAAAATGATAATGTAACTTCTTTAATTCAGCAGCACAATTAGTATGTACCTTTGGCGAATTCAATAATGCACGGATATGAACTTGGATAGTTAACGCCTTGTTTTCATATTGCTTTACTAATTCATCATAAGCAGCTTGGTAATTATCTGAAGTAATTGAGAAACTTTTAATCACCTCAGCAGCTGTACCGCAGACACCTGACTTAAGATAATGCATTTTATGAACATTAGGTAAATCTTTGTTGTTGTGGAATAGTGCATTAAAGGTGTCAATGTAGGAAGCCCAATTCTCAATCTCACCATTGAATGTGGGAATGTTAATTGTGGGTAATCTCATTGTTTCATTGACTGATGCACGTGACTGGTTGCTAGGATGCATTGAACTTGATGTTGTACTTGGCCCATGCTTTTCTATAAGCTCTTCCATATCGGCCACCAAAGTGAATGTAAAGTCATCAAAAGCAACCTGTTCAGTGACATCATCATATCCCAATTCAAAATCAACAATGGCTTCTTGAGTGACAGACAACTCAGCCATAAATGCAGTCAATTTTGATAAACGGATTTGCAGTTGGCGCACAGATGAACTGGCCGGAATGAATTTGTTGACATAGTCCCTGACGGAGTTTATCGAGTCCTTGATTGATTGACGCTTCTTGATCAGCTTACGCAATTCCTTGGGCAAAGAAGAGAGGTCGGACTCGAGCATGATGTTGAATTTCACTTATAGATGTAGGACAAGTATAAATGTAGTATGTCTAAAATTCAATTAACAAGAAAATAAAATATAAAAAATATATAAATGTAAAATGTGCAGTATAGAAATAATAGAATGAAATGCAATACAGAACCAAATACCAACTAGTATAAACTCAATATGTCTGAATGACTAAATAAAAATATTTTTTTTTGTATTAATAGTATTTTGATTGTAATATTAATATTGCAGGGTTATCTATAATAATAAAAGCGAGCATATCACGTCGAGGTCACCAAAAGTGTCGCGTTCAGCTCTTAACAGAACTAAAATGTATATAATGGAGCTAAGGATGCCTTCACGACAAGGCGTTGGTAAAATATAAATATCAACCAACGACCTTAAATAAATGATAAAGGTATTAAAAAAAATGTAGACAACCCAAATATTAAATTACTGATATAATAGCATGTATTCTAGCTCTTTGGCTTTCAATAATACAACAAATACAAATAGAACAATGGTATATGGTAAATAATAATAAATAATAATTTAATTCAGCTCGTCAGCTGGTTACCTGGAGAACTGGTGTCCGTTAGCGGCTTTGAACCTAACGCTACCGTCTCAGGATGCACACACTTACACAATAAAAATACAATATTATAATAATTAAATGTGTGGCAATCCCGAGAACGTACGACTAACGAGCCACCAGCTCAAACGAATAAATCACTGTATACATGCAAATCACAATGGAAAAAATTCACGTGTTTCTGTAAGTACCTCGTTGTGCGCCCTGAATTGGGGAATAATATTAATGAAATGAACGAAAGCAAATGACTGAACGATACTTACAGAAAATAATTCACAGATGATGTACACAAAATGATTGAATATGATATTGTATTGAATATTTGAATGAATGTATGCTTCTTTGAAAAAACGAATGCAATGTGCTCTGGTTGGGGTTGACTCGGACCGAACAGCTCGAGAGGCGAAAAAGAAAAGAAAAACGGAAAAGGCGAAAGTATTTAATTGAATATTATGAGTTTTTACGAAGACGAATGAATTTATTGAATAACCAATGAGAAAACGCATAATTCACGAAAATGCTATCAGTACCACCTTAAACATTTAATACGAAAAAATACAAGACTTTCGGTGGCACTGAAAGCGACACAAAACTTTACGAACGAAGAAAAAACATTAAAAGTGCATAAAAATAACAAAAATACGAAAAAGCGACCGTTGGAATGCGCACGTTGCCCGCTATAAGTTAGATAACACAACGACGGTGGGACAACGCGCGCACTCACCAGACAATCAGACTACCGCTGCAGCTGTTGTTCGGTCCGCGATAATACACCGGCGCGAAAAGGAACTATTTGAATTGGTTTTGCGGAGCGAACAATCACCAATCCCCTTCAACTCCCGTGAAGGATGAAGTACAATATAAGAATACATACAACAAAATGGTTTGTATGTAGTAAAATAAAAAGAACAAAATAACATTAATTGTATTAATTAGGTATATGGTAAGCGATAAAAATAAATAGATAGTATAATACATAATAATATTATTATTAGTAAAATATGAATATATTGAGCGATATGTTACAATGAAATTTGAAGAATATTAAAAATCCATAATCACAAATTTTTTTTTAGAAGTATTTAAAGTTCGAATGTTGACAAAAGAAGTAAAAATCACAATGCGCAAATTATTTTTAAATCTAAAATTTTAAAATATAATACAAGATTCTTCATAAGTATGTGACCTTTATCAAAAAAAAAAAAAAAATGTCTACAAACAAATCAAATTTTATTTTTATAATTTTTTGAAGTTTATATTTTTACAAGATTGGATATTCACTCGATTTAATTCTCATGTAGTGATTTTTAGATTCTGAGTGGAACGATGAATGTATTGATTTTACAATGATGTGTGTTTTTATATTTTTTTTTATTTTTGTCTGTGTACACGATAAGTAGTCGAAATAATGCTTCGATTTTCGACTTCAGTATCTTGTTCGATTGGAAAGTGAATATCGTTGGTGCATTGGGGAGGTCAAAATTTAAAATTCCCAGTACTTTTCAAAAGAACCAAGAAAAACAAAAGAAAAATTAAGGAAAAACGGGAATTTTTACGCAAAATCGATTTTTCAGTAAAATTGAATTTGGTTTTTGGTGTAACTTTAAAACAAATGAGCGTAGAAACATGAAATTTTCACTGGTTGTTTATATTGACATTTTCTATACACGATAACATTTTCAAAATATTTTGATTTATTTTGAACTGTTTAGGGACATTTTCATTTTCCATTTTTTTTTTAGTTTTTTTTCTAGAAATATCAATAAAATTTTATTTGTTGGTTGCGAAAGCTTGAAAATTTAATAGAAGGCTCCAAGTATATTGTTTCAACGACAGATGAAATATATTAAAAATCCTTAGTCACAATTTTTTTTTTATAAGCATTTAAATTTCCAAAATTGACAAAATATGGAAAAAACACGAAAATTAGAAAATTATTTTGAGTTAAGAATTCGTAAAATTTTTTTTTTTTAAATCTAAGATTTGAAAATGTAATACAAGATTACTCATAAGTTTGTCTATCTTTATCAATAAAAAAATCTCTACCGGACAGTCAAATTAAATTTTTATGAGCGTTTGAAATTCAAATTTTTACAATATTGGATATTCACTCGGTTTTTTCTCTTGTAGCGATTTCCTTATTTTGTTGTAATTCAAAAACGAATAACTGTAGATACATGAAAATTTCACTGAATGTTCAAATTAGCATTTTCTATAAGCTGTACAATTTTGAAAATTTTTTGACTCTTTTTGGGCTGTTTACGGACATTTTCAGTTTTAAATTTTTTTAGTTTTTTTTTTCTATAGATATCAATAAAGTTTTATCTGTTGGGCCAAAGAGTGTAAAAATTTAATACAAGGCTTCTGATATATTGTTACAATATAAGTTGAAAAATATTAAAAATACATAGGTAGGCACAGTTTTTTTTATATGCATTTAAAGATCGAATTTGACAAAATTCATCAAAATCTCGAAAATTATCAATCATTGTAATTAATAAATTATAAAATGTTCAGTTTTTCTAGCTAAGGATTGCAAATTCAACACAAAGGTTCTCGTAAATAGTTCATACTGTAACCAAAAAATCTAAAAAATATATGAACACAGTTATTTTTTACAGACATTTTAAATTCAAATTTGGACGAAATTACATATTAAAAAACCTAGAATAACTATTTTAGTTATTTTGTTGTGATTGAATAATATTATTCGTGGGTACTTGAAACTTCTAAAGTGTACTATTATATATCTATGATAGTATCACGATTTTTGTTGATGTATAACGCGTTATAAGTACCTAATGGATATTGTGATATGATTAATTTGGAATTTATATAGGTACCTATTATAGGTCAAATTTTGGTTCAGTACCATAGATATGTATATAATATGTCTTATACCTAGACTGACATACCGTCTCCGCTCAGAATCGTTTTTCTTATACAATGATATTATATCGTTGAATTCAAATTTAATATCATCCATTATACAGTGACCCACTTGTAACCTACTGTACAGCAGAGCGACACCCACTTGCCCACCTTTTTTTTATATTGTTGTAATTCAAAAACAAATAACGGTTGATACATGACTATTTTACTGAATGTTTATATTTTCATTTTCTATACACCATACAATTTTGAAAATATTTTAACACTTTTTGAGCTGTTTACGGATGTCAGGTTTCAATTTCTTTAGTTTTTTTTCTATAAATATCAATAAAATTGTTCATGTTTTGTAAAAAAGCGGTAAAATTTAACACAAGGCTCCTGATATATTGTTACCTACAGTATAAGTTGAAAAATATTAAAACTACATACTCAACATTTTTTTTATAAGCATTGAAAGTTCGAATTTTGAGAAAATTTATCAAATATAAAATTCAATAATATATTATTTTGTAGTTAAAAATGTATTAAATATTCAACTTTTATAATTAAATATTGAAAATTTAAAACAAGGTTTTATTTATTATATTATTAAAATATTATATACCTGGTAATATCATAGGCCGACTGAACGTCTTCGTTCAGAATTGTTTTTCTTAAATACAAATTTAACACCACCCATTACAGTAACCCACTTGTAACCTACTGTACAGCAGAGCGACAGTTCTTCAGTTTCTTGTATTTTAAACTAATGGTAAATGCATAATATACATAGTACAATATTATGGTGCATATAGTGCATATCAAATATTACTCAACCGATAAACGAAAATGCGTTGACCTTACTAGGCGTGGGACTTTAGCATTTCCGGGAAGTTTGTTTAGGGACTCGACGTCCGTGAGAATATGGATAGTATATTATACTCTCGTCTATAGACAGGGGGAGTGTGGTTGGGACTATAAAGTAGCCCCAGAAGTGTTACACCCGAGCTTGACCGTGCACATTCCCGAGAGTCAGGATAACACTATACCCACAGTCGTTATCAGGATATTTCAATGGAAGAGGATGAAAAAAATGGTTACAAAATAAGTTGTAATGGTTTTGCCTCACAACCCCATATTATAATAATGAATATTAAAAAAGCGGGTGAGTGGATGTCGCTCTGCTGTACAGTAGGTTACAAGTTGGTCACTGTATAATGGATTGTATTAAATTTGAATTTAATGATATCATATCATTGTATACGAAAAACGATTCTGAGAGGAGACGGTTTATCAGTCTCCATATTTTGTATTGTTATTATATTTTTTTATAGCCTGTAAGTTGAATTAATATTATAAATTACAACAAAATAACTAAGATCATTATTTTTATTTTATTTGTTTCTATGGTGATAAACAAAATGTTAGAAATTGAAATACAATTTTTAGAGGGGTTTTTGTAATTTGTCAGTAGTTTTTCCTGTGTCGTTAAATAAATATTGAGAAAATCGAAAAAATACCTCTTTATAGTACCATCTTGATCCAATTC